ATAAGTCCATTAAAACGCTCCAATTAATTCAGAACGCTGCAGCACGAGTACTGACAGGAACTAGAAAAAGAGATCACATCTCTCCTGTACTAGCTTCTCTGCATTGGCTCCCTGTAAAATGTAGAATAGAATTTAAAATCCTCCTCCTCACCTATAAAGCTCTTCATGGTCAGGCCCCTTCATATCTTAAAGAGCTCATAGTACCCTATTACCCCTCTAGAACACTATGTTCTCTGAATGCTGGGCTACTTGTGGTTCCTATAGTCTCTAAAAGTAGAACAGGAGCCAGAGCCTTCAGTTACCAAGCTCCTCTCCTGTGGAACCAGCTTCCAGTTGTGGTTCGGGAGGCAGACACCCTCACCACATTCAAGAGTAGGCTTAAGACATTCCTCTTTGATAAAGCTTATAGTTAGGGCTGGATCAGGTGAGTCCTGAACCATCCCTTAGTTATGCTGCTATAGGCCTAGACTATCGGGGGATTTCCCATGGTGCACTGAGCTCCTCTCTTCCTCTCTCTTTCTGCACTCATTCATGTTTCATTAATGCATGTTACTAACTCCACTTCTTCCCCGGAGTTCTTGTGCTTTCTCGTCTCGCAGGTTCTCATGGATCCTGGTGGAGCCTCCTGCCGTGGTCCTGCTTGACTGCCATTGCCAATACTGTTGTTGCTGCGCGTCTGTCTGTCTGTCTGTCTGTCTGTCTGTCTGTCTGTCTGTCTGTCTCTCTGTCTCTCTCTCTCTGTCTCTCTCTCTCTCTGTCTCTCTCTCTCTCTTTCTCTGCCTCTCTCTCTCTCTCTGCCTCTCTCTCTCTCTCTGCCTCTCTCTTTCTCTGTCTCTCTTTCTCTGTCTGTCTGTCGCTCTCTCTCTCTCTCTCTCTCACCCCAACTGGTCAAGACAGACGACCACCCACCTAGAGCCGAAGGATCTGTCCTAGGTTTCTGCCTTTTAACAGGAAGTTTTTCCTTGCCCTTGTCGCCAAGGTCTTGCTCATGGTGGTACTGTTGGGTCTCTGTAAATAATGTTATAAAGAGTTCGGTCTAGACCTGCTCTATTTGAAAAGTGTCCTGAGATAACTTCTGTTATGAATTGGCGCTATACAAATAAAATTGAATTGAATTCATGTTAACGTATTGGAGTGAACACACTGAGCTGAAGCTCACAGACCTGCAGACACTTTGGACATCAAGTCTGCTGACTCTGCAGATTTCACTGAAGTACACAGTGGAAATAAAGTGCTGAGAGTCCCTGAATGCATCATTACTGCAGAAACAGACATTCACTGCCCACTGGAATGATGCATTTACTGCTGTTAGGGTTCAAAGCTGATAAAAACCACAGTCTCAGTCACATTTGAATGTTTCATCTGAAATCTTACAGGACAAATGTGTAAATATTCAAACTATTTGGACAAACAAGAGACAAATGGACAGATATATGTCTGATGTTAAAGGTCCTACATGTTCATACAAAGACTGAACAGCAACACATCAGCTGTGGGTACTGGACTCCAGCAGAGGTCCTGGTCTGTACAAAGACCACATGGTCACTAAATGTAATGATGGTTGTTTGCAGGCTTCAGTCAGACTGATCTCAGAGCTGTGACAAAGACCAACTGATCAGTGTAGAAATGAGAGAACAAACAGTGTGAGATCAGACTGGATGAATGAGGACCACTGTCTCTATACATCTTGTAATGCTGTCAGCTGGAATCCACTTTATTTCCTGAACACATGAACACAACAACAACAGTCGTCTTCACATCAACTCAAACACATGATCACAACAAGCTTCTGGCTCTCTGATTGGCTGACTGTTCTCTCTCTGTCTCTCTGTCTGTCTGTCTGTCTTGTCTGTCTTGTCTGTCTGTCTGTCTGTTTGTCTGTCTGTTTGTCTGTCTGTCCAATCCTAAAGCCTGTCCCCATTCTCCTCTCACAGCTTCACTGAGGAAAGCAGCAAATACTGGATCTGTGTTTAGTCCAAGACTGTTGGAACCAGCATGGACTGACTCAGACCCTCTACTGACCCAGAGTCTGCAGTCTACAGTGCGGACTCTCCACAAGATCAGACAGCAGCTTCACATCTGAATCCTTCAGGTTGTTGTAACTCAGGTCCAGCTCTCTCAGATGGGAGGGGTTGGACTTCAGAGCTGAGACCAGAGAAGAACAGCTGATCTCTGACAACCTGCAGTTCCTCAATCTGAATAAAGAATAAAAGATGTTTAGAATTAAAAAGTTCAGTCAATATAAACAGTTTCATAAAATGAAAAAGCAAAAACTGAATATTGTTATTGTCTGATAATAAAGTTTATTGAACTATTTATTGTATTTATGTATTTTTATTCTCATTTATTAAAACCATGATGTTAATATCAGATTAAATCCAGAGCTGAAGAGGTTCACAGTGAATTATTCAGTGTAGATTCTTCTTGTTAAATGAAGGTTTTAAATGTGGAGCTCAACATTGCTCTGCCACAGTCAATGGACTAAACCACAGAAGAAGAAAACAGACTTTAGCATTAAGATACTCAGTGTGGATCAGTATAATATCAGCCTTATGTCTGCACTTTACTGTCAGCACAACTTAACATCACATTCATCTCAGCACAGAAATAAAACATGGTGTCTGACCTCAGAGTCTCCAGTCTACAGTGTGGACTCTCCAGAAAACCACACAGCAGCTTCACTCCTGAATCCTTCAGCTTGTTGTAACTCAGGTTCAACTCTCTCAGATGGGAGGGGTTGGACTTCAGAGCTGAGCCCAGAGAAGAACAGCTGATCTCTGACAAACTGCAGTCCCTCAATCTGAATAAAGAATAAAAGATGTGAGTTTAGAAGACAATGTTCCTGCTTGAAATCATTCAGTGTTTAATAATCTGTTCAGAGCTGAAGAAGGTTTACAATGTACAAGTTTAGAAAATGGAAACTCCAAACACCTGAACCCAACAGGATGCAGGTTGCAAACTGTAAAATACAAAGAGTGAAAAAGAGCTCTCATTAATATTAATGACAACGTGCTGCTGCTTCAATAAAGACGTAGTGACTTCAGCTCTTAACCTCTGCCAGCTCCACCAGTGGCTCCATCTATACAAACTCATGTTGTGCAGCCAAACACAAAGAAAAAGCCACAGAAAGTGATTGAAGGTGTACAGCAGACAACTCCCAGCATCCTTAGAGATCAGTGAGGTCACATGTTGTTCCTGTTGTATGTTGCACAGATTGTAAATCCCTCTGAGATAAATGAGTTATTTGGGGATATATAACTGAAACTGAGTTGAATTGAAACATCAAACTAATTGACTGTTACTGAAGCTTTACTTTGTTCTTCTTCCTCACTGATGTCTTCATCACCAGACTTGTATGTGTGAATACAGACGACAGCTTCAATCAATGTTGTAAATACTAGACAGTTCTCCTGGTTGATATTCATAATGTTTGGTTTAATGTGTGAGAGATGAACGCTTTGTGTGACTGAACTGTTGTTGTGATGTTGTTCGTCTGTAATTTGTTCTCAGCTCTGTGTTGTAAAACAGATCCTGATCTTAATCAGACTTTCTGAATAAATAAAACTGAACTCACTCACCAACTGAGACTGCCAACATTGTAACTGTAAACTATAAGTGTGACATACAAATGTTATTTTCAAATGTTTAAATCCTTTTTTTGACTATTAAAACTTTAAAAACTTATTTTCAACCATTTAATCTTTGTTTAATGTCATCAAATCTGAAGGAGATTTTACCTCATAAATATCAACCTGTCTGCACTTTACTGTCAGCACAACTTAACATCACATTCATCTCAGCACAGAAAGAAAAATGATGTCTGACCTCAGAGTCTCCAGTCTACAGTGTGGACTCTCCAGAAAACCACACAGCAGCTTCACTCCTGAATCCTTCAGGTAGTTGTTGTAACTCAGGTCCAGCTTTCTCAGATGGGAGGGGTTGGACTTCAGAGCTGAGACCAGAGAAGAACAGCTGATCTCTGACAACCTGCAGCCACTCAATCTGAATAAAGAATAAAAGATGTGAGTTTAGAAGACAATGTTCCTGCTTGAAATCATTCAGTGTTTAATAATCTGTTCAGAGCTGAAGAAGGTTTACAATGTACAAGTTTAGAAAATGGAAACTCCAAACACCTGAACCCAACAGGATGCAGGTTGCAAACTGTAAAATACAAAGAGTGAAAAAGAGCTCTCATTAATATTAATGACAACGTGCTGCCGCTTCAATAAAGACGTAGTGACTTAAGCTCTTAACCTCTGCCAGCTCCACCAGTGGCTCCATCTATACAAACTCATGTTGTGCAGCCAAACACAAAGAAAAAGCCACAGAAAGTGATTGAAGATTCCACTATTAAAGATAAAATGCTGTCATCTTGAGTGTAAATATTCAGTCAGTAGAAACGTCACATATTATCAGAAAGGTTTGGTATAAGCTGATATGTTTATTGTCTGATAGAGAAGAAAATATGTTTCTGTTTGTATTCAGAGGATCATGAGAGAAAGGTGGAAATGAAATGATGAAGAGCTTCAGAGAGAATCAACCAGTGTTGAATTATTAATGTTTTATTAAATATGTTTGAAATATGAAGCTCAACAAGAAGCTCAGTGTTAATCAGCATAAAATCTTTGTGGTCAAACCCCCTCAAAACTGAGATTTTAACGTTTAGAATTAGGGCTGGCTATTGTTACGAACCTCACGATTCGATTCGATATTGATTCTTTGGGTCTTAATTCGATTTGATATTGATTTAAATGCTTCGATATCGATTCAGTAATAATTAAATTACAGCTTTGGGACGGCGACTTCTGTCATGTGCTTGCGTGTTGGTATGGCGTATTGTGGTTTGAGTGTGTATACCATCTTCTTAAAACCCCCGTTTTCCACGACACTGTACGGTCGTAGGTCCTTACATATGAAGACGGCCACAGACTCCGTTATCTTCTGTGCGCGGGCAGAGTTTGGCGGCAGTTTGCAAAGGAAGGATCTGTGGAGTTGTGTCTGTTTTGAATCTACAGGTTTAGCCGCGGGTTGCTGCAGAGCATCTGCATGGTGTCGGCTTAAGTGGTTGCGCAAATTTGTTGTGTTATTGCAGTATTTTATTAGTGCCTGGCACGGCTCACACACTATCTTACTTTTGTCTATTTCCTGTGTTCCGGGTTTACACTGCTTTTAAAGTTGAAGGCGCTGGATTTACACTGCTGCTACCTGCTTCGGTTGCTATGTTGTTGTTGTGTGGTCGAGTGCGGCCTCCGTCCTTAAAACGCAAATCACACAAAGGTGTTTCTCACCGTGCCCCCACTGGCCAGGGGCTTGAATCGATTCAGAGGATTTAATGAATTGATATTGAATTGGGAAAAAATATATTGCAATGCATTGATGAATCGATATTTTTACCCCCCCCATTCAGAATAAAGGTGTAGAATTATTAACTACAGTTTCACAGTAAATATTTAAATTGTATTGTTATTAGGTTAAAGATCCCGCTACATTAAAATAAACATTATCCAACAAACTTTTTTGAAATATTTAACAATCTCTTTTCTGAGATTTAAACCTGTTGTTCCACCAGTGCATGCTGGGATTTCATGTGTTCATCACCAGACTTGTATGTGTGAATACAGACGACAGCTTCAATCAGTGTTGTAAATACTCTAGTCATCAGCGTACCTGTGTAGTTATTTATCAGTTCATGTTAACTAAAGAGACGAGATATTGGCATTATTAGTTGACACAGCATCCAATCAGGACACCAGATCACAGGAAAGGTTGGCTTTAAAACTTCCTCATACCAAGTGTGAACTGGATCAGACTGGTTTCTGCTGCTGTGCATCCAACTACTGGAATAAACTGCACAACGAATTCAAGTCAGAGACACTACGAAGTTCTCCTAGTTGATATTCATAATGTTTGGTTTAATGTGTGAGAGATGAACGCTTTGTGTGACTGAACTGTTGTTGTGATGTTGTTCGTCTGTAATTTGTTCTCAGCTCTGTGTTGTAAAACAGATCCTGATCTTAATCAGACTTTCTGAATAAATAAAACTGAACTCACTCACCAACTCAAACTGCCAACATTGTAACTGTAAACTATAAGTGTGACATACAAATGTTATTTTCAAATGTTTAAATCCTTTTTTCACTTTTAAAATCTGAGTTCAAACTTTAAAAACTTATTTTCAACCATTTAAAGTTTTTTTAGTGTCATCAAATCTGAAGGAGATTTTACCTCATAAATATCAACCTGTCTGCACTTTACTGTCAGCACAACTTAACATCACATTCATCTCAGCACAGAAATAAAACATGGTGTCTGACCTCAGAGTCTCCAGTCTACAGTGTGGACTCTCCAGAAAACCACACAGCAGCTTCACTCCTGAATCCTGCAGCTTGTTGTCTCTCATGTCCAGCTCTCTCAGATGGGAGGGGTTGGACTTCAGAGATAAGCCCAGAGAAGAAAAGCTGATCTCTGACAAACTGCAGTTCCTCAATCTGAATAAAGAATAAAAGATGTGAGTTTAGAAGACAATGTTCCTGCTTGAAATCATTCAGTGTTTAATAATCTGTTCAGAGCTGAAGAAGGTTTACAATGTACAAGTTTAGAAAATGGAAACTCCAAACACCTGAACCCAACAGGATGCAGGTTGCAAACTGTAAAATACAAAGAGTGAAAAAGAGCTCTCATTAATATTAATGACAACGTGCTGCTGCTTCAATAAAGACGTAGTGACTTCAGCTCTTAACCTCTGCCAGCTCCACCAGTGGCTCCATCTATACAAACTCATGTTGTGCAGCCAAACACAAAGAAAAAGCCACAGAAAGTGATTGAAGATTCCACTATTAAAGATAAAATGCTGTCATCTTGAGTGTAAATATTCAGTCAGTAGAAACGTCACATATCATCAGGAAGGTTTGGTACAAGCTGATATGTTTATTGTCTGATAGAGAAGAAAATGTGTTTCTGTTTGTATTCAGAGGATCATGAGAGAAAGGTGGAAATGAAATGATGAAGAGCTTCAGAGAGAATCAACCAGTGTTGAATTATTAATGTTTTATTAAATATGTTTGAAATATGAAGCTCAACAAGAAGCTCAGTGTTAATCAGTATAAAATCTTTGTGGTCAAACCCCCTCAAAACTGAGATTTTAACGTTTAGAATTAGGGCTGGCTATTGTTACGAACCTCACGATTCGATTCGATATTGATTCTTTAGGTCATAATTCGATTTGATATTGATTTAAATGCTTCGATATCGATTCAGTAATAATTAAATTACAGCTTCGGGACGGCGACTTCTGTCATGTGCTTGCGTGTTGGTATGGCGTATTGTGGTTCGAGTGTGTATACCATCTTCTTAAAACCCCCGTTTTCCACGACACTGTACGGTCGTAGGTCCTTACATATGAAGACGGCCACAGACTCCGTTATCTTCTGTGCGCGGGCAGAGTTTGGCGGCAGTTTGCAAAGGAAGGATCTGTGGAGTTGTGTCTGTTTTGAATCTACAGGTTTAGCCGCGGGTTGCTGCAGAGCATCTGCATGGTGTCGGCTTAAGTGGTTGCGCAAATTTGTTGTGTTATTGCAGTATTTTATTAGTGCCTGGCACGGCTCACACACTATCTTACTTTTGTCTATTTCCTGTGTTCCGGGTTTACACTGCTTTTAAAGTTGAAGGCGCTGGATTTACACTGCTGCTACCTGCTTCGGTTGCTATGTTGTTGTTGTGTGGTCGAGTGCGGCCTCCGTCCGTAAAACGCAAATCACACAAAGGTGTTTCTCACCGCGCCCCCACTGGCCAGGGGCTTGAATCGATTCAGAGGATTTAATGAATTGATATTGAATTGGGAAAAAATATATTGCAATGCATTGATGAATCGATATTTTTACCCCCCCCATTCAGAATAAAGGTGTAGAATTATTAACTACAGTTTCACAGT